TGCACTATTCACGCAGTCCCACCCCACACCCTTGTTTTCGCATAAAACCCACGCTCCTCTTGCAGCCCGCGGTCGTATTCTTCCAGGACAGTCACATCAGCAAGTAGAGAAAGTGAGGGTGGGCAGACACATCGAACTTTCCCACGATATCAGAGAAATTCAGGAATGAAAATGACGTTACATACGAGGTTGATGCATTTGTGCATGTCGTACTAAGCAAGGTATAAAAACAGTTCCTTTATGAGGAATTAGTTCGTACCATTGAATATTTGACGCAATAGACAAGGTGTCGCAGAAACCGATGTTGCTATAACCAAGTTTTACTGTAGTTTAGTAGATAGGTGCCAGCATTTTGGAGTAACTTGCTGCTTACCAAACTACAAGCATCACATCCCAGAAGACCATAATGAATTTTTGTAGTTCTTCCATATCTGAAATTATTTATAACCAATATATTAGGTTTGACATCTAGTGCCCTAACTGAGAGGAGAATGATTAATTGAAGACTTTTTGTTTATGTCATTCAGTGAACCAACCATTTTTCAGAGACAGACAGATCCTTAAGATGCTCCCACATATTATACTGTTCTCTAGTAAGCTACCCATTTTATTTCAATGCAGGATTAGTCTTTCATTATTTGGTACTGAAAAGGAATTGACAGTTCTTACTGACTTCTAAAGGATGCAATAAGTGAGAAATTTAGGACGTTATACAAGAACCTTAATTATTTTTACATGTCACCAGGTATTGTTAGTGTAGTGAAATCAAGGAGGTTATGGTGGACCATATAGCTTGGGGACAGAAGACAAGAAATACATGCTGAATTTTTGAGAACTCACTTGTAAAGCAGATACTTATGGGAAATGGATGGAATTGGCTAAGAATCATGTTCAGTAGTAGGATCTGGTATTAGCTGTGTGTTGAACCTTTGGGTTCTACCACCTTTCAGTTAATTATTTAGCACTCTCCTGTAAAAATATGCTTTGTATGAATACATGTCTCCTTCCTCAGGAAGAGACTATTTAAGCAATTTATTTATCTTTATAAATTTCTTGTAAAAGGATAGCAAGAAATCAGCAGATATGTGAAGACTTTCTATCAGTACAAGTAATCACACATTATTCAAAAACTAGGGAATTTAAAAAGTAAGAAGTTTGTACTTACAAGGTGCTAATTTGTGATGATTCATATAGTGTGTATCATAAAATATTACAAAGAATGTAACACACCCTTAGTTTTCATTGTGAGCATACTACCACTAAAATTAAGGCACCTAATGTATTTGAATGTACAGAAATTGCTTGAATTCTGGTCATGTTGATCTCTTTATTATTAAATAACATACATTTGAATTGTTTAAATATTTTATTTTTATTTGGTAGATAATGAAGACATGTATCTGTATATAACCCAAGTAGGGACTTAAACATTAGTTACACTCATAATGTTTTAATTAGTATATAATGTAATGTTATACAAGTATTATTCTAAATTACCTGATAGTTAAAAAATCTTTATTAAATCCTTGTACACCAGTATGCTTTCTCTGCTTGGAATGCAGAAAATGAATGTAGGGATATATATCAATCCAACCTCAGGTTTTATCTCCAAAAGTGCATGACAGCAGCTTGATCTTATTTGGTATTGGGCTTCTACATAAAAAGTGATCATATGAATTCATTTTATCATCCATAATATTATATTTTAGCAACCTGTTGCATTAATGTATCACTTGTAGTCTTCTTCCGACTATAATGTAACAATATCAGTATAGATTAGATGACACTAATCCACATTTAATTCATCAAAATGTTCGTTAAAATGTCATTAAAATATGTGTACACAAATCAACGTGATACACACAACCAAAGGAGCGGCACCCCCACTGGGGCACAGTGTAGCTGCATTACAAAAGATTGGAAGAATAAACATCCTATAATACTAAAATTAATAATAATAATTCAATTCAATTCATGTTTATATCCATGCAAACTTAACAGCACAGAGGCCAATTACAAAGTTGGCACGAGTACATAGAAATACACAAAAGAACTAAAAAGATACAAAATAAGACAGTCTATATAATGGCAATAAATTAATAATAATTCCAAGAAAAATTAAATTTTACTTTAACAGTGAGAAAAATAAAATAAGTACATTTTGAATGGTTATTCCATTATGTGGCGAGAAATAATAATAATAATTCAATTTGATTCAATTCAATTCGTGTTTATTTATGTGCAAACTTAACAGCACAGTGGCCAATTACAAAGTTAGCACGAGTACATAGAAATACACAAAAATTAAAGAGCAAAATAAAAAATATGACAGTCTATACAATATCAATAAATCAGTAACAATTCCAAGAAAAGAAACCAAAAAAAAATAATTTAGCCTTAACAGGCGAGAAAAATAAAATAAGTACATTTTGAATGGTTATTCCATTATGTGATGAGAAAGGACAATACACATACCCACACACATAGAAGTTAATAATAATAACCCAATTAATTCTTATTTATTCGTGTGGCAGCTCAACGTCCTAATTTAAATCAATTCAATTCATGTTTAATTATGTACAACTTAACAGCACAGAGGCCAATTAAAAGGTTAGAATGAGTATATGGAATTACATATAGAATAATAATAATAATAATAATAATGACGTATTTTAAAGAGTACTATTTGACAAAGTGCAGTGGATTCCTTAAAAATGTGTTGTCTGAAGATGGCCTTGTGTGGCTGAAACATGTAGTGCATAAACACAGAATGTGTATATAAATATATATTTTGACATTTTAGTGAGATAGCGTAGTCAGTATAGTGACTGACTACGGGCTGAACAACCAAAAGGTCGGAGTTCAGCACCCGATGGGGTCAAGAATTTTCACTTCTCCATGTCGTCCAGACAGGCTCTGGGGGTCTACCCAACCTATCCAGTGGATACCTGGGGCCTCTTTCCTAAGGGGTAAAATGGCTGGGGCATGAAGCTGACCACTCATCTCCATCGAGTGCAGATGTCAAGAAAATCTGGGTCTGTATATCCACCTACCACCCTCAATATGCCTTCGTGGTGTAGCGCTTAATTATTTAAGTACAGGGACATCTTTACTTTAGTGTCATTTACATCCATACTGAGGTAACTGCATTGTAGTTGGAAGAGGACTACAAGTGATTGGTACATACTATTCAGCCATAAACCCCTGCTTCATGTGAATCTCAAGTCTGTTCCTTGTAGTTGCTTTACACTGAGAATATAGCGTTTAGGAGCCTTCTAAGCCATGTGTATTCTTTGTTCTCAGTCAAAACATGATAAAATTCATCCTACAGAATATAATGCCATAAATTTCACTAAAATTTTTCTGTTGTTAATGTTCTTAGCAGTCATTGATATATATATATATGTTAAAAAAATCATAGTGTGGAATCATCATTGAACAAAATGAGTAATAAGAAATAGGCTTTATTTATGAAAGAAAATCAGGTGCATTTCAAAGAAGCCCAAGAAGAGCTCTGACATGATTAGGTCCACAAGCTAAGTATCACCGGAAGTTGCTCACACAACAGCAAGTCTTCTGAAAGTGCAACCATACATGATAACTGTTGATCAGAGACTCATGAATCATGGTAATTGCATTAAAATTCATTTCTGCAATTGGTTGCTGGAATCCATGCATGATGGAATTGCTAACCCAGAAGTGTTTTATTTAGTGATGAAGCACGGCTGCATTTAAGTTGCTATGTGCACACTCAGAACTGCTGCTGGAGTTGAGAAAATCCACATTAGTTGCATGAACAACCTCTTCATGACCTTCAAGGTTTAGTCTGGTGTACAGTTACATCCAAGAGAGTAATCGAGCCACTCTTTTAATGAAATCGTAAGTTCTCAACATTATGTAAATTTAATATTCAGACACTTTTCCAAGGCCTGGCAGATAAAGGAAAAATTAAAAATGGTTCTCATAAAAGACATGGCTAATCAGTCGATGAAGGTTTAAGCCCATGTGATTTTTACTTGTGGGAAATGCTGGAAAGCACACTTTATCAGAAGTCCATAAATGGCGGAAGAACTGCGGGAAAATATTCAACAAATGAGTTTGAATAAGTTCTGACAAGATATGAAGCTTGCTTTCAGTCAGAGAGGTATCATTATGAACATCTGTTGCCATTAAAGTAAGAACAATCACTTTAACATAACTGGTTGAGAGAAATACTTTTAATTCACTGTTACTGAGAACTTGCAATTTCTTGGCTACTGTTTTAGGTTTATTAGGAAACTTCTGACATCGTATACATAAAATTAGTATGTGGAACAAAACACGAATATGAATTTTGACATTTGATATGGTGAATAGTGTAACACAAGGATAATTCTGTGCTGCTATATACTCTCTTCGTGTGATTTCATATGCACAACATCAGAAAATATATTAATACAAAACTTTTTTCCAATACAAACCTTGCATACATACAATAAATAGATATGTAGTCTACTAATATACTGTAATTCTGATCTTAAAAAGCATGGGTCTGTACTGTAGTCTTTGACAAATGGGTTACATCAGGGATGTTAGGAGACATTATTACACTGAAGTAAAATCGCTTGTAACAATTCTTGTAATAATGGAGTCGGTAAGTGAAGACACCTCCAATTCAGAATCCTTAATTTTATATGCCATTTTAATTAACACTTCATCAGAAAAGTTACACAGCTCCTCAATTGGGCATAAAACTCCTTTAAAGTGAGAAAGTATAATTTCACTTCTATTCTCGCCAGCTTCTTCAATTATGCTTACCAACATGGTCTTATCTGATTCTCCAATTCCAAATTTCATCAGAGACTGGGTTATGTTTCTAGAGATCGACAAGTTATACAAAATCTCCGTGGAAAGTGTTCTTGTAGTCATCCTGTCTTGCATTTTGCTAATGACAGCTTTGTTTGCAGCTATAACAATCTGAAAAGGATGCACTATCAAACAAGGCTTTATAACACAGCAGTGCAAAGTGCCCTTCGTCACCATTTCTCTAATTTCGGCAGCATTCTGTACGTCCTTGAGCAAAAACAGGGAAAGGCTCTTATGACAATCAAAATCTAGTTCTGCCTTGTATATCATTTTTTGGCTACCTGGAAAATTAGTAATCACTCCTTTTCCGATCACGTACTTAACCTCTACACCAACATTGGTCAACATAACCAACTTTTGAGCAATTGACAACACAACCAGAGCAGCCAACAGTCCGGAACTGTTTTCCTACAAAAACTTTTAATCTGTTGGTCCTAATCGTCCTAATTGCAGACGATAATCATAAGTCCTCATTTGTGAAAATCCAGCTGTTGACTTTGTGTAAAATTAAAGGTAAGGTAAAAACCTAAAATTAGGCTCATTTATTTACTACCTGTGTTTGCCGTGCATTTCCAATACCGGTAGTCGGCTGGCAAAACTTGCTTGTGTTGTAACTCGGAGAGGTATATAAGGCGCAGATGGACCTCGGTTGATCGGCTTCTAAGTCGCGTTTTCAATTCCGTTCAACTTGCATATATTTGGAATAGATGCTAGTTCTTTGTCAACTGCATCCTGACTGGAAGCTTCATGCATTCGTCTATGCCTCACTCGCCCATGAAGCTGAGCCCTTCTTAGGAAGCCGCCAATTGTGCAGCTACTCAAGAACTTCCCAGCATTTAATGTAACCCGAAGGTTCATTACCGTCTTCACAAGGGCTCTCCACTAGTCCCTATCCTGAGCCAGATCAACCTAATCCGCACCATCCCATCTGCTCTCTTCAAGATACATTTTAATATCGTCCACCCAACTACATCTTGTTCTTCCCACTGATCTCTTTCTTTCTGGCTTTTCCACCAACATCCTATATGCATTCTTCTTCTCCCCCATTCATGCTACATGTCCTGTCCATCTCATCCTCCTCATCCTCCTTACTTAATCATTCTAATTATGCTTGGAGAAGAGTACAAGTTATGAAATGCTTCATTATGCACTTTTCTCCAACCTCCTGTCACTTCATCTGTCTTAGGTCGAAATATTCTCCTCAACACCCTCAGTCTATGTTCCTCCCGTAATGTCAGAGACCAAATTTCACACCCGCACAGAACCACAGGCAAAATTAGAGTTTTGTGTATTCTAATTTTTATGTTTTAGACAGCAGACAAGAACACAGAAGTTTCTGGACTGAATGGTAGCATACATTACCCGTGTTCAGTCTCCTCTTAATTTCCTCATGAATCAAGCACTGTCTCTGTGGTCTAGTGGTCAGAGATCCTGGCAACAGATCCAGAGGTCGGGGTTCGATTCCCGGCACTACCAGATTTTCTGAAAAGTAGTTGGTTTGGATCGGGGTCAACTCAGCCTCGTGAGGAAAACTAAGGAATATTTCAAGGAAATAGCGGCTCCGGTCTAGAAAACCAATATTAAGGGCCGTGGAGATTTGTTTTTCTGACCACGTGGTACCCTCTATACGTTAAGTTGGCACTAAGTTCTCCGACAAGCGGCGGTCGCTCGGTCGATATAGTTCGCTTGCAGACTAGAACCATGGAGGTTTTTTTATCAGGTTTTGATTTGTTATTGTTGTTCCCAAATATGTGAATTGTGCCACATTTTCAAAACGTCTACCACCTATCTTTATGTCATGATTTTTCCCTGCATTTTGGTGGTGAAACAGTAACATATACTTAGTTCTCTCTGTGTTTACTTCTAGACCAACCCCCTTACTAGCACCAATTCAAGTCTGTGTATTTTTCTTTATGGTATGTATATCATCACCCAGTAGATTCACATCATCGGCATAGACCAGCAACTGATGTGTCCCATTTAATTTCAGTCCCACCTGGTTTCCCTGGAACTTCCTAATGGCATATCCTAAAGCAAAGTTCAAAAGTAGTGGTGATAAAGCATCTCCTTCTTTTAGACCATTCTGGATAGAAAAATTATCAGACAAATGTTTACCTATAATGGCTTTACTATGCATTTCATTTAAACACATTTGAATCAGCCTAACTAGTTCCATGTGTACACAAAACTCTATCAGAATATTGTATAATACTTCAGTTCTAACTGAATCATAGGCTCTCTTGATGTCTACGAATAGCTGATGTACTTTCTCATTGTACTCCTATTTTTTCTGCAGTACTTGATGAATGAAAACGATCTCTTACATCTAAACCCACACTGATGATCCCCAATAATTTCATCTCTATGTGGACTTAACCTTGAGAGTAGAATATTGGATAAAATTTTGTATGAAGTTGATAGCAGTTATATCCCACAATAATTACTAGAGCCATTTTTATCACCCTTCTTGTGAATTGGTACAATAATAGACTCCTTCCACTGATCAGGCAATTTTTCCTTACTCAAGGTAGAATAATTTAGCTTATGGATCTTAGAACATAGTATTTCACTTCCTGCTTGAATCAGCTCTCCCAGAATTTCATCACTACCTGGTGATTTATACCTTTTCAGTTTTGCAATAGCTATTTCAGACTCAAAAGGGCTAGGATCAGGTACTAACAGCTCAGCAGAGTGTACTTCTGTCTTCCTAAGATCACTGACCCTATGTGCATTAAAGTACTGAGAGAAATAGTTCTTCCACCTGTTCAAAATGTTGTGGGAATCTGCAAGCAGATCACCATTCTCATCCTTCACTTCTAGTTTTGTAACCCATGTTGAAGTCATTTATTCCTCTATACAGGTCTCTAATTGTGTTGTTCTTACTGTTTGTTGCAAACTCATTAGTTTTGTCTTTCAGATATTCCCTTTTTCTATTTCTGAAATGCCTACTGGTTTCATGTCTTGTGTTATTCAGATCCTGTAACCATTGCAATTTGGCTTGCTTCCTTTGGTGTAATAATTTCGAGCATCCTTCATCGAACCATGTCTTATGTTTCTTCAGTTCATAATAACCTAGACTCTCTTTGATTGAAATTTTGTTATTCTCTATAATAGATTCCCAAGCACTATTAATATCCTCCTCACTGTCTAAGTTTTTCAAAGCTGCGAACCTATTTGAGATTTCAACACAATACTGCTCTTTACCCTGTACCTCATTTAATTTCTTGAGATTGAACCTCTCCATATGAACTCTTTGCGTTGTTTGTTTGCTCACTGCCAGTCTTTCCCTAACCTTTGTCACCAACCAGGTAGTGGTCAGTATCACAATCTGTTGCCTTGAATGATCGGACATCAAGTATATTTGAATGGCGTCTCCTGTCTATCAAAATATTGTCAATTTGATTGTGTGTCTTCCCATCAGGAGATGTCCAAGTAAATTTACGAATGTTAAATTGTGGGAACATTGTACTTTTGACAATAAAAATTTTGGATGTGACAAAGTTTAGTACTCTAGCTCCATTATCAGTATTAATTTCGTGTAAACTCTCCTTCCCAATTGTTGGTTTGAAAATGTCTTCCCTACCTACTTTGGCATTGAAATCTCCTGACAAAATGTTCATATGGTATTTCGTGAAGTCATCAAATACAGGGAGGATTTTAATCGGTTTGACGAGTTCGCGGTTCCGCGCTTCTCGGCGACCTGTGCGCTACTTGCTGCGGGACGCATGCGAGTTTTGCCGATGACTCAGCGTGCTTGATGGCAGATAACGTTTGGAATGAAGGAAAATACGTGTAATTAACTTTCAGAACTCTACATGGCATTATGTTCATACATGGGAGTTTGTTTATATTTTGTCAGCAGTAGGTAGTAGTTATCAAAGCCATGAGCCATTTGTTTCTAGTTAAGAGTTAATCAGCAGCGTGGCCGAACATTCTTCACGATGCTTTAGAGCAACGTGTACTTCTGTATGATACCTATGTGAAATACGGATCTGCTACAAAGTGTCGGATAAAACTTCAACGTAAATTTCGTTATGAAAGACTTCCCAGCAGACAAACAATTTATAATTTTTATTGAATACACTTAGAACAACGAGGCTCTTAATAGGTAAAGAAAAGAACTTATGGACCGAGTGCTTACTAAAGGAAAGTTAGACGACATTGGGACCAGACTTGAACATACACCTAGAAAGTCATTGAATCGTCTAACTCAGGAGACTGGAGTGTCAAAGCCTAGTTCAGGAACGGCAACGCATTTGCTGAAGCCATCCAGTGAAAGTTGGTGCCTGGTGTGCTGTAAATGCAAGAAGGATTGTTGTACGTGTGTTTTTTAACGAAACAATTAATTTCGAAAGATATTTACGTGTCGAGGGACAGCGTTTTCAACACCACCTGTGATCGGTGAACAAATGTAAGAACTTGACCTCATAGTATTGTGTATGACATCCTAACACTAACAAACTCTACTCTCTTAACTGCTGTTGTGATTCTCTTATGTACGAAAAGAACCTGTTGCTACCTCATGATTTTCATTCCCCTTTCCAGAGAAAAATGTATAGTCTCCTGCTGGTGCGATGCCACCTCCGTCCCATCTGACCTCCTGTACTCCCGCTAAATCTAACTTATATTTTGAGATTTCTTCCGCCACTGCCCTGAGCGAACCTGCCCTATACATACTTCTAATATTCCAAGTACCAAATATATCCGTTTTCTTTTGCTTAGGTCCTTCATCCAAGGAATCCGTCCAGGTTTTTTATGATCTTTCGTAACAAGCTTATTTTTTACGGCAAGGATTTGTTAACCCCACGCCCAACCCCCAATATGTAGGACCACCCCTTGTCTGCTGTCCGCGTCTGCTTATTCAATATACTCCCAGCTACCCTCCATACCTGGAGGGCGTCTCCTCCATCCGCAACCTGAGGACGCGCAATGCCGTGGTGAGAAGGAACCCACCTATCACGGCATACGCCTATGCCTCTGCAAAAATAAGTTTGAAACATGAGGAACCTAACAATCTGGTGTAGCGGTAACGCTCTGTATTTATATTCGCGTGGTGCTCGGTTCGAATTTCGGCCGGAACACCCGTTAACCTGACTGAAATGTTTCGTAGTTTTCATCAGTCGCTCCAGGCAAATGCAAGGGTAATACCTCGGATAGATCGCTACCGATTTTTTCCTAATCCTCCCCAATTCATCTGTAATCCTACCATCCGACGCTATATGTACAAATTGTTGATACTGAAGAAGCGTCATTAAATAACTCGCCAAAAAAATATAGCAAACACGAGGCAACATTGCGAAGAATGCGATCTTCTGGGTTGTAGCGCCGCGTAATTTGGAGAAGGCCCGACATTTCGGCGGAAGATACAACGTCCATCTGCAGGATAGAGGAGCAAACCAAGCACGAATCCAGTGGAAGCAGGCGGAAAACCAAGATGATTGTTCCAAGTGTCTGAGCTGTAAAATTATTTTTTCTAAAAGCACAGTGAATATTGAAACGTGTTGATC